TGCATTCGATTAGTCAACATTCTACGAGTAATTGTTGTAGCTATTTGACTTTAAAGAATGAAAGGAGACAATAAACCTTTGCCATAGCTACTACCATTACTTTATGGTCAAGTAAAATTAGGTTGAGTGGTACAAATAGCTATGCGCGCAAGTGAATAAATTTAGATAAGGCGCATTGACTTGATCAATTTGAGCAAAATTCTAGCGCAAAAAAATAATTATAGTCGTCGAGGTTCATTGAGTCATAAGAAAGTAGTGATAAAGCAGCATACCTCTAAGTACTATTACACAAAGAAGACGCAATGTGCATATCTGATAGGTCATCCGAGGACGATGTGATCTGGATACTAAAGTAAATAACTTTGTAAAAGCCGCCGCTAAGCTTGATGAATCCAATGGCAGAGTGGAAAACGCCATAATGGAGGGGTTAAATGGCCAAGCAATCGATGATCCTGCAGTAATAGAGTCACGAGAAATCAGAAGTTGATTGACAAGGCGAGGCGAACCAGTGACCGCCTCTAGATAAGCAAAGCTTTGGCGCTGCAAGCGCAGCATTGAAGACATTAATAATGGAGAGCCATCCTGATGAGTAGCTCCAAAGGTGACATCTAAAATGAATTCAAGCAAGTAAACGAATTGTGATAATTAAAGGTCATAAAGATGAATAGTATAGAGCATCAATAAAGGGTAATGATAAAAATTAATTAATATAAACAAAGTTGGGCAATGTTTCGATCCATCCTATTAATTTTGAGGCATTAAGTGCCGGCTTTCATAGATTCTATGATAAGTAATAAATACCTTGGTTTAGACGTAGATTGGCATTGGTTATATCTTGATTGAATTCCAACGCCAAATAGTTGATGACGACGCGGAACAAATAATCATTTAAAGCATTCCCGAGAGCTTTATCTCGTTGCTTCCAATTGAGGCGGATTGATCCACGTGATACATATCGAGTCAAGGTATTCATGACTTGTGATTCATTGTCAAGACCAACTCGCTTAACAATCGATTGGTCCCTATTATTCAGTCCAGTCGGCCCACCTGCTGAGGATACACAACAGGTCTTAATATCATTGAATCCAGCATTGATTGCTCCGGACTGGAGTCTGTAGGATGACCGGGTAAGTAAGAGTGAAGACTCGAGGGCGAAGTGAGCGACATAATGAGCCAAGGAAAAGTAGAGGCGGCCTGATGGACTATAAGCAGTGCGATGAATGGGATAGGCTAAAAAAGAAAATAGTGGATGCATTCCGTAAGTTATTTAGTTAAGTAAAATTAACTTTAAATCGAAGATATGAAGACCAGGATAGTGTGGCCTTTTGTATAGACGCGGTATCCTTTCGTTGCATAGAAGTTGTTTGACCTTATTTTCGTAGCTTGGTCATATTGGCAGGAAGACCTTGAGAAACGCGCCTTGTTCGGAGTATGCATTAAAATTTCCAGAGTCAGACCGTGGACACGGTATATTCTCAGAAGTTACTCCTGTATCGTAGTCGGCAATGTGAGTGAGTCTTGCCATTCTCAGCACCAAGCTATAACTCGTCAGAAGCAAGTGAAGTCGATCCTTTAATCAAGTGTCTGCTAAACAGTTATTGTATCTTTTCTTCTGTCATAAGCTAATCATCTATACCATATTCTCGGATCACCCCTTCTATATCACAATTGCTTACTTGTTTAACTAAACCTATTTGAAACCTATTTAGACTCCCCGCTGGATTCCACCTACCTTCCACTGTGCCGGAAGTATTGTTCCGAGGCTGTAGTTTGATCCGCAATCCTCTCCCTTCGGGTCCTTTAAGAGTCCCTCTCTTGCTCCGTAGGATCCTTCATGTCTGTTCCAGCGATTTGATGCCATCGCTGCCACTTTATCCGTGCTACTCAAGGTATTATGTCCTACACTCTGCCCCAAGCCTTATATAGCATGTATACACCAGCCTCACTCAAAAATTGGCCTGACAAACAAACTTGGCGCTACATATCCACTTATCGTGGTCAAGTCTTTACTTCATAGACCATGTATATAATCAAAATCATCGGCCAATAACTAACTAGAAATGGCCACCACCGTTTCTCTCGCTCTTCTACCCCTAATGCTAAGTCAATGACTTTCCCTTGCGTGCCGGCCTCCAAATGTGAGTTCCACTTTATTTGATTAGGAAATAATTTACGGCACTAACGGTTTTTAAAGAACCAATCCTTAACTTATTCAATAGTTAATGCAAAAATGTATCTTGCTAAGCCTTACACTGACTTACTCACATAGCCAGAAAATTATAAAAAATTGTAAGTATAATCGAAGATATGAAGACCAAGATGGTGTGGCCTTTTGTGTG